GAGACACTGTTTGAATGGTGCGAGCTTTCTTTGAAAGTGGGTCCCGCCACTATTGAGTCGGCTGTCTTAGTTCGACCGCTGTACATCGTTCGACTCGCTGGCGCAAAGTTCGATCGCTGGTGCAAGTGTTCGATTCGCGTGGCGCAACGCTCGGATCGAGCGATTCGCTAGCGAATCGCTCGATTGACAAACTATGACATCGGCCAAATGCTGTCTGTATTACAGGAGTGAGCCTAAAAGTTTTTTTGTAAAGGATCCATGTCCTGACAGATTCTCGCTGGTTGACCATTTTTTAGCGGTTAAGAAAGGCGAGAATGGTAAAAAAAATGGATGCGATTCGCTGAAAATTTCTTGAAAAATGTTCCTCGACACACTGTTCTGATCGAAAACGACTAGAATGTTCGCTACGAGTGCAACCACGCCCAAATCCCATTAGGGAAAAAGTCATGCACAGTGACACATACAGTGTTTTCTTCAGGTCAACCAACCACCATTTGCAGATTTTTTTAGCAGAACACTTGCTTTAAAGCGACAGTCCAGCAAGGGTGGGCGTGGTCGGAGTCGACTGCAATCCCCTCGGCCGATTCCGATCACGCCCACTTCAGCTCCCTGCCTATGTTCCAAGGTTAGCTTTTGTTCAGTCACACTTCTTTCGTTCTTGACTAGGGGCTGAACAGCTCCGTGGGAATCGGCGGAACCGGGATTGCAGTCGTTTCCGACCACGCCCACCCTGCTGGGACTGGTGCTTCAACGTAAAATAAGAGTTCTAGGAGTATCTTACGTTTTTAAGATCAGGCTTCCCACCCACTCAAGAGTGGCTTTAGAACGGATACAATAGTGAGAATGCAGAAGCCCACTTCATCGAGCAAACATGAGGCCTTGTTGATTACAAGGCTGAACAGCATCCAATTGGCCATTCCATCCAAATATCCTTTCCATCCCATATTTAGACTGAGCTTGTTGCTTCTTACCACAGAAATCTGCGATTGCATTAAGCAGATAGCAGAAAATCTGGAACCAGTGTTTGAGGATGTATCACTTCCCAATTGTTCCATGTAGTTCTTCAGCGTTAATATCGTCCACATTGAGAAATGCGCCGTTTCGCGTATTGCTCACTGCCGAATCGACAGCTTTGCGCAGCCTTACGCTTCAGGACTTTTCGAGCCAGAGGCCCACCTGGACCACAACACTATGCCTAGACACTCTCACGGGCGAGGGCCAACTGCTGGTGCCGAAGGGATCACACGGTCATGCACCTTACACTGTGGACCCGGTGTAACGTGTAGCGCATTGCGCGGTCAGCCCAGAGCTCGAGCTGTGACACCTGCCACGTCCACGCAAGGACAACCGTCACGTTGGACAGATTTCAAAATTTTTACGACCCCCCTTCCCCTCCTCAGCACTTACTATTTACTGACTAATAAAAAGCTGACATTACGAGAAAAGTGCAGTCTACAAAAAATCATAAGGCACTTAGCTTGAATTCAAACATCGATGATAGACGAGCTTCAGCAAAAGGAACTCCTCACCAGCCGCTAAAAATTATTGGTCTATAGTTTAAATGGCGCTACTTGCGCAGGAAAGATAGAACCTTTCATAACTCGGCTTTCAGAACCACAAAATATAATATATTTCCATTTCGATACAGCATATATATCAAAATGGATTTATTTGTGATGTTTATGAATTGCAAGCGAGTGCATGGCGCATCTAGAGGACGAGAGTCTACAGCAGAAGTGTCTGAATTGAGCGCGGTAGCTCGCGATCGCAATGACGCGTCCCTCGGCCCTGCGCAGATAAACCGTGGCGGACTACTAAGCTTCAAAAGAGTACAATTTTGTTCAATTTGATGTTTTCTAAAATGCTGGTAGATTTGTAATCTACGGACTGCTAGTTTCGGAAAAGAACCCCGTTTGTGCAGTATCTTCATAACATTATTAGTCATGGAGTAGAGAATTAAGAATTCGCAGAAATGCGCACTCCTTCATTGAAAAGGTTGTGTGTTTCTACGTACAAACGAGAAAATGTGAGAAGTTGTTGGAAAATTTCAGAACTTTAGAAATTTGCTTTTTAAAGTGTTCTCAAATATTTGTGAAGTTTCATTTTTTCGAATAATCCCCCCGTTGGACTGTGTTTTGTGCACAAACGAGTTTTTTTGGCTTTCAATTACTATAATTTTCTTCAGATTCAACCTTCTGTGATTCTTGTCCCCCTGAAAAAAAACCAGAAGATTAGGCTTTCTAACGAATACTTGATCTCCTTTCACAATTTATAGAGTCAAAAAATCGTCCCGTTGGCGTTGGATTTGCGGACCGATTTTTGGCAGGGCGCTGGTTATTTGGCTTTGAACTTTTATAACTTTCTTCGGATTCGACCATCCGCAATTCATGTTCCCCAGAAAACAGGAGGTAGAGCTAGCTAACGAATACTTGACCTCGTTCTCAAAATGACTTTTTGAGAAAATTGTCCCCTTGGACCTTTTTTTGTACGCATTTGAGAAGCTACTCCCCTAAAAACACGAATTCACAACACACACACTCACAGGGATACCCGGCGTGCGGTGGTATTTTCTATTTAACTTGACGCGAAATCACACTGCGCTACGACTCGTCCGCTGACTCTGGCTCATTGCCGCGCGACGGGCCTCCTGTCGGGTACCCCACTCACAGCTCTCTTCAAACTCAATATTATGGGGAATAATGATACGATGACATCGCCTTATCTTTGTGCTTCATGACAGCCGACAGGCAATTTTTTTTCCAAACTTTTCTCGTAATCCTTTGGAAGTCAATTTACCTAAGTGTCCACTCTTTTACTAACTCAGGTCTAGTTTTAAGACATTGGTTCTCAGAGCAATATTTCTACGTGAACAGGTTATGGACACTTCTGCATTAAACCCTTCTGCTCTGAAGTGCGCCATGCATTCGTTTGGGGTTAATAGTTGGAGAAGCTTTCGAAATAATCATACGTCTCACCTAATGTCGCTAGAGCAAACATTTGATTCTAACTGTCTAATGATGTGTGAATGGGCTGAAGCTTCAATTGCATCTGTGTTACATTTCGTCATTCCACGCATTTTGACGTTCATTTCTACGAAAACGACCCTCCCCCTGTTCCGTCGACCAAATACGACCCCCACGTTGGACTTGGTCCAACGGACGGTTGACGCTTCATCCACGATACATTGCCTTCGAATTGAGAGATTTGATCGGCCAATCTTCGGACGACATGGAAATGCAGGAATGCATTGGACTTGATAGGAGTCAGTCCCGAACTGGAAAAATACGTTGAGACGAATCTAATGGTTCAGAATGGTGCAGTTGTGGACGTGGATGTGGGCTTCGTCGAATTCCACCTTGGATAGCGTTTCTCAAATTTTGCTTCCACATCCACCGAAACCAGTGCGGTCTAAGGAGTGGCGGTTATTCAGATTCAGTTCATCGACTGAACTAGGATGTCGGATACGCTGGACATAACTCCTAATATGTTGGTTCTTTCGGAGGTCCTGATAAGTATTATATTTGGGATTCATGGAGTAAAGTTTTGGTTTCAAGCATTCTTCCGGTCTTCATATGTGCCTTCGTGCTGTAAACCTGTGCTGTAAACGATGGGAGCCTTTTGCATCTCCTAATTTTTTTTCCCAAGGCGAGGGCGGAACGTGTTCCTGGAGTACGAGTCGGTGGAGCGCCATCATTGAGCTGGTCGTGTCTTCTGCTCCAGAGTAGCTGCTCTAACATCTCATCGGACACGTCGGTACATTGAGCCCCATGGAATGCCCCGAGCAAGAGTGGGGGTCTACTACGTAGCGTCAGTCGGTGGGGTTCAGTTCCTCGAGAGGTGACGCGGGGAGTCTGAAGGTTGCAGTGAGCTATTGGGTTATATAAATATGCGTTATTACTTTGGTACTGCTATACGTGTATTGTTCTAATTCATATCTGTAGCGTGTTGCTGGATCCTAGGTTGGTGTAAATCCCCAGCCCCTCCCCCTTAGCCTCGAGTGTTCGGGTCCGCCTCTGCTCGGGGGTACAGGGGAGGTAGGGTAGTCTGATGGGAGTCCCTCTGCTAGGGAGGTAAATATGCATGGAAAGAAGTTCGCCATGGATCGGGGTAAAGCGTGCGATTTTGGAGAGTAAAGACAAATCGATCGACAGAATAGGACGGTGTAAAAGTGGGAGATGTTAAGGGAATCTTCCGCGGAAAAAGCTCCGCCTCCATTACCCTAGAAAAACGATACCCCTTAGGCCCCTAGCCTCATGAGCATAGCAAAAAGAACGGAACATAAGTGTTAGTTTCGAGAATACTAATCCTACACACAAAATGATCACTCTTTTCGGGGAAGATTCCTTTAAGTTATCGTTTTCTGTGGTAAAGGGGCGGGGCTTTTTCCGTGGAGGATTCCTTTAATGCAACAAGTCAAAAAGTCAAAAAGTCAAAAAAGTTTCTAGTGACGGTTCGCCGAGAACCAAGTGGAAGAGTCCCGCCGCCAACATTTGTGACAGATGTCCGGCGGTACTTTGAACGCGTAGCAGCCCTTTCGGTTTTTCGAATTTTTATCAGAACAAGTGCAATTTTTTGTTCTTTTCGTTTTTATCGTAAACGATTGTTGCAAGCCAGTGAATTCTGGATGAGATAAAATTACGATTTTTCCGAAAAGGATTCCTTAGGTTTTCTCTCGTGCCGTGTCTACCTGCATCAGCGTCTTTCCTGCAGTGTTTATCAGTGTTAGAGCTCCTTCGAAACTCGCTACGCAATATAGCTTCTAAGCAGTTTCAAGCAGTTTCAGGAAGGTTTACTGGTATACAGCGATATTTCACAAGCTTGAAAAAACAAGGATACACTCAATGATATTTGTAAGCAGCATAATCAGTTCGGAGGATGCAGTGAAGAATCTGTATCGAAAACTCTCAACTCATTGCTGGAAATCAATGACAGCCTAAATTAAAATTGCTGATATCGTTTGAACCCAGACAGGAAGCATGCAAAGAGATCTGCACTGTTATTCACGAAAGATAACGTGATAAAATCTTGAAGTATCCTCCTTCAGAACTGAGTATCTGGTCAACAGAGGATGGTGGTATGCTGCGAAGTTGGCCCAGTGCCAGCAGCAGTCTTCCACATCTAAACTTGTTTGGATTATAATTCATAGTATAACACAAGTAATCTTCTTTCACACGAGTCCTACTGTCAAGTTGTGATAACTTTATGTAATCAGTTATTTCATCAACTTATTTTATTTTCTGAGTACTTGGGTTTTCTCGACAATAGTACGGTTTTCTCAAGGCTTTCTTCGCCACTGGCGTACTATTGAGCACTTTCACGACCCCTCTGATCCCCTCTGCGAATTCTAACTCGGTCAGGAGGAAGCCTACAGAACAGAAACATTGGAGTGCTATAGCAATGTCTGAAGTGTTTCCATCATATCTGGAGTGAGCGTAAGCCCGCTCACAATAGGCGGGGCTTGTCTATAAGTGGGCGGCGTTTCCCAAATCCTTACTATTCAGTACAGGGACCGGAAAAGAAGTGGACAGAGGTCGGCAAAATAAGGAAGGACAAATGCTAGTGGTGGGTGGGGCCTGCACTGAAGTGGGCAAATTTAGCACAGATCTTGGAAACTAGTTTGAATTTCCAAGCTGTAGAGACAGTCCCATGACCAGGGAAAGGCGGAAAATTATTGACGAAGCGGGGAAGGTCAAAAGCTATCTGTGAGGCGGGCATGCGCACAAGTTCGGGGCTTAAATCCAAAATCACCGCATGGCCTAGAGATAGCGCAGGGACCGAGAAGGAAACGAATAGAATTCAGCTTAGAAAGAAATTCAAATATTCGTCGTGGATCGGGCCAGATTTGAGGATTTGGATCGGTCCGCATTCGCACACAGAATGGATCATGCGGCGTCAAGCAATCATCGAGGTGACGGTAGCTAGATTTCGCTAGACGTAAAAAACGACGTATTTCGCACATTTCCAGCGAATATTGTTGTCAGGCTCGAGAACGTTTTTCGATAATGTTATCAGAATGTAGCCCGTCCAACCAAATCAAAAGTTCACCTGCTTGACGTGGGATGATTTTGAATTGTGTGCTGGTTTAGAACCGTCAGTGATTGCTCCAAATGCATGTCAAATAGACCATTTGCGGACAACTCTAAACCACACAACAGTACTAAGGAAATCGTTGTAAATTGGTACAACCTCCAGGTACAAGGAGCTCAAGCTTAGGTTTGTAGAATTGATGAGGCACTGAGTGTGGTGGGAGTTGTCATAGCCAGATGAACAAAATCTCACCATTCAGGAACAGTGCAACTGCTTTCAGACAAGAGTACTCTGTTCTGTCTAAATCAAGCGATCTCACGCAGTTCAAAGCGGCCTTGACATCGGGTTCATAGTTAAGTCCATCAAGTAATGACGTTTGAGACCATTCTGCCAACGATAGCAGAAATAGCAAGCGCCAGTTGGCGTTAAGAAGGTGAGACTGAAAAATCATGTAAATCGTCTCAGAAGGACAAAACCACTGAGATTGCAGCTTTGGCTTCATGAATTCATAGATGCTATAAGAAAGTTCGTTATTATTACTATTATTATTATTGTTATTATTATTCTTTTAGGTTGGTACATGTCCTGAAACAAATTACATTTAGTGCTAAAAAATCTTTTTTAGGAATCCGAGAATTTCGCAACATGCTTGTTGACGTAGCATCCACGTTTGCAATATCAGCCAACCGGTCAGCTTGTTGTCTCGCTACTTCTTATAGATATTACGAGGATTTTGCTAAAAACTCTTTGGGTCCTTAATTTTTACGAGTACTGTTTGGAATGTTCCACAAGTCATGCTAAACCAAAAATCAGCCAGAAGATGGGCGAGGGCACGCTCTCTCAAACCACGGTGCACATGCGCCTCACTCTGCTCAGCGTTGAATTTTTTTATTTGAAGGTGATTCACACTCCAACACTCCGTGGCTGATGCTCTACCTGACGCTGTTGAAAAGGGATCTGGATGGACTATCGATCGTTTGTCAGAGCAATTGAGATGCGACAGGGTGACAGCACTGCGACATCTCCAAAGATTTGCAAGGATTTGAAAATATAGAGTTTGTATCTCACATGCCTTGAGCCCGAATCAGCTCCATACACAGGCTGCCATCGTCACGTTTAAGTCAACTTACTATAAATTCTTCGGTTGACCATCTATCACATTGTCGAATATGTGGAGGAGGTACAGTGTGCTAACAAATAAACAAGCAGCGTAGTCCAGCTCAAATGCTTTGGGAGTTCTGACTGCTAAAGTGCAACCTCGTCCGGTTCGTGTCTCCCCTTTTTGGTGGACTACGGGAGGAGTTGAGCTTTGGAGACCCTTAGGTGTGGATGTCCAGTCAATGCGGAAGTCAAGAGTCTACAGCTCGATTGCAACACCTCTGATACTATTGAAAAGCGAGACAAAGTTTGCTTTTCATGACACATCCAGGGATTTCTGCGACTCGAGGACGGAGATTTCTTCCGTGTCCGCCTTATGGATCTAACCTCTGCCAAAGGATGCCTAGCTGCTCCCATCTCGAGACCACTTCCTAGAGAAGAAATGTCATCCTAACCATAGCGTGTCACAATCGATGTCTAATCCTTCTTCGATTAGAACTCTACGGAGTTCTGCAAGAGAAGCATCGAACAGCTTCTAGTGCGTTGGCAATAGGTTGTAGATATTGACGGTGTGTCATGCTGGATGAATGGAGCAATAAGAAGATAAAAATATTGAAATCACAATTCAGCCAGTTTGTGGAAAGACTCATGGACCAACCTATATTATTGTTATTATTCTATTATTGTTATTATTATTATTATTACTGGAGTTTCTTAGTATTTTATATATGGAAATCTTCTTATTCTTCCTATTAGAAAGTTCTTCATATGTTCCGGACCAACCCGGTCTCGACATTTTTAAACCGAGACATTTGAGGAATGCACCGTCAGTTATCATCAAATCTCTGGCGAGATTCTTCATCTTCACCTTGCTACCTGTCGAAATGCAAGGTACCCACTCCGTGGAAAACCAGCAGGCTGTGTTGTTGTACAAGAAGGGAGATTTGGACGACATTGGCAATTATTGCCCAATCTGTCTGCTGTCTGTAATCTGTAAACTATTCACTCGAGTTATCCTCAACAGGATTGGTAGAAGAATGCTGGGTGAAGGACAGCCATGCGAGCAAGCAGGATTCTTAAGAAGGTCAGCATGATTGACCATATCCACACGGTTACAGGACTCATTGATGTTCCACGAGAGTACAAGTTGCCGCTCTGTTTTATGTCTATCAACTTGGAGAAGGTCTTCGAGTCTATGGATAAAGAAGCGGTCATCGAAGCCTTGGGCAACCAGGGCGTCCCTACAGTACATCAAGATTCTTCGTGAGCTCTACAGCAACGTTACGACCAGAATCTCACCATTCTACAAGGAGGTCATCATCGACGTTAAAAGAGGGGTTCGACAGGGCGACAACATCTCGCCCAAACTCTTCAGCGCCGCTCTCGAGAACGTCATGCGTCAACTGGAATGGGAAGACATGGGAGTGAAGGTCGACGGCCGGCAACTACACCACCTTCATTTTGCTGACGGCATCGTTCTTATAACGCCCAACATCGAGCAAGCGGAGCGAATGCTGGCCGACTTCGACTGTGCCTGTGGTAAGGTCGGTCTACAGCTGAACCTAACGAAGACGATGTTTATGAGAAGCGGATTGGTTCCTGATGCCCCATTCACGCTCAACAGAACATTACCGAATGCTCCAGCTACGTGTACCTAGGTCGGGAAACCAACATGATGAACGACTTAGCTCCAGAGCCGAGCAGGAGGAAATGAGCGGCATGGGGAGCGTTTAAGAACATCGCACTCCATGCCCACCCCTTCGATTCCGCAGGCCTTCCTCCTTAACTTACGCCTCAGAGACTTGGACTCTGCGCAGGCGGGACGAGCGTGCGGTCAGCGTTATCCAACGTGCTGTCGAGAAGACGATGCTTGGAGGAACCTTATACACGCAAGTGAAGAGGGGAATCCGGAGTTCCGAACTACGCCAACAATCGAAATTCAGGGACGCTGCAGTTTTCGCCAAGGAATCGAAGATAGGGTGGGCCGAACACGTCATGCGATTCTGTGATGACCGTTGGACTGACTGACGTGCTCACATTCTTCATGACATTGTAGGACCCCTTCGTCGCTTTGATCACCCGCTTTGCGATTAAAATCAACACCTCAACACTCTTGTTGACTTGAATCCTACAGAAACCCACACTAAGGCTAAACATATTTGGGCTCTGGAATCGCAGAATTCTAATCCCATGAAGCTAATATTCTCCCTGAAATATGTCTCTAAAATCGATAGAGGTGGCTGTTGTTTGAATGTTTGAGTGTCACCTATTGTTTGATCAATGAAGTTTCAAATTTTGAATGTTCAGAAGTGCAGAGTTCATACTCGACCAGGCCAATACATGCATTAGAGTGTTTCGACCTGAATAAACTGCCAATCGAGTGCTGATCCGAAACGGTTCTCTGCATGATTTTCCCAAAAACTCCAGGGAAAAAATTCAAAAAAGAAACCTTTTCAGATTCACTCAGAGAGCGAAATGAAGGAACGGCTTGAGTCCACAGCAGTGAGAGCTCGAGCACCCTTGCAGGGGAATCTGGGAAGACGTCTTTCTGAAACAGAAAAGAATCTATTTTTGAACCGCAGCCCTGACTAAGCCACATTTCGGCCTTCTCAGATTTTTCGTTTTGCACTTGATGTTAGCTATGGTTCTTTTGTCACCACTCAACCGACCCCGTTCTTTGCGCAACGGGCGGTTGGCCTTGGCTGTGACATGAACGGGTACATGATACAAGGTAGCTTTATTACTAATATGTCCCGGCTCACAGTGAAGGGTCAAAATAATTATTTCCATAGGTGAAGCGAAGGATCACACGAGTATGAGAGCAATTTCTGAATAACCTCGTCTGCAATTTTTTCTTCTCTCGACGAGAAGTTCCTAAACACGCATCTACCGGGGGGGGGGGGGTGGAGAGCAAGAAGAAAAAAAATTCGCTTTCCCTCCACATATAGCACGGAATTGCACTTCTTCCATATTCAGGCTAATAGATCCCAACTGAAGATTGTAAAGTGCTTTTCATTCTATCAAGAATTCCATGGCCGCCTTCTGCTTCGACGGCAACAAAAGAACATGCCGCGGAGGCGTGGCGCACCGGTCGGTAGCTCAAGTCCTCGGTCGGTCGTAGATCATTGACATCCTATGAAACGATTAAAAGGGATCTTGGGAAGGCAAAACTACTGTCTTCAGGAAACTATTCATCATTTAATCGCTCGAAGAAATCGTGTGACAACTCCAGGCTGGAGCGATTACGGTATGCCCTCCTGAGGTCGATGATGGTGGCAGATGAAGTCAGATTCCGAAGTGGTGGATGGCAGTGAAGGAGGGCTTGCTTCTGCACTAACGGCGACACTCTGTTCGTGGAAAGATTTGGTGATGTGCTTCCCCCCCCCCCTCCCCTCCCCCCTATCTAAATAAGAACACAACGTCTGAGGCTTAAGAAATTGCGATAGTTGAACGAGTCGTACTTTGGACAATCATGGAGGAACACGTGGCGACCATGCACAGAATAATGGACGTCGGAAACACGGCGGAAAGAGAGGGAGCCGTGGAAGGGGACCAAATACGAGGGGTGATAAGCCTATATAACAATCTGAATATTTCACATCCTACAGTGTGCTATTCGTTTCCTCTCATCAGCCCTATAGCACTGTTTTCGAAGGGAATATTGCAGTAATGGAAAAGAGGAGTGAGTTGCACGCACCTTTTCGTCCTCCGCCCTTCCTTCACTCGTAGCACTCAGAGGCGATTCTTCCCGTGGTGGTAACTCTGACTGTGGCAACACCGCTGACACCGCTCCGGCATACTCTCTGGATTTTCTTATTACATTTGCTGTGAATTTGAAAAGCAGTTCAAATTTTGAACTTTGCTATACCTTAGAAAGTTATGGGGATCCATGTCAACTGTTGGACGTATGGTGGCCGTGTTTCGTGGTTGTCGTTCATTCTGCACAGCTGAAGTGGACCGGATAGAATATATGTACGTGAAATAAGTTTGGTTTGTGAGTGGCATACTACAATTTTTAATATCATAATTGCATCTGATCACCAACCGTCTTTGTTCATTCCTTTACTGAGACACTTTTTCAATCGACATGCTTGGCACTGATTCCGATGAGCTTTGTCCACAACACAACTTCCCGTTCCAGCATGACACCTGTATTCAATACCATAGTGGCAACGAACGAAGAACACAGAAGTTTGAACAATGGACAGGTACACTTAGATTCAAGCAAGAACATTCTCAAATTTACCTGTAGATAAGCCGTCGCCGTACAGATCTCTTGAAAAAACCCGAACAACCATTGCAGGCCAAGATCCCTACAAATTTTTGGACTCAAAATGATGGAAGGGGTCGTATGCGAGAAAACAGAAAGATCAACATTTCATTTTATGGTTACGGAATGCCTAAGCAAAAGTTATCAGTTCGCACTAGGTTGCGTTCATGGTTGGTGACTTCGGAGATTTCGATGGTAGGCAACAATAAAAAAGATGCGTATTGGTGGGAAATTAGGACAGTAGTGGTTCAGGAATAATGCTGGAAAGACTAGATGCGTATCGATTGAAATTGCCGGAGAGTAGTAATTTACGATATTAGGGTACTGATAGGAAATTAGGATAGCAGCACATTAAAGAGGAGTTCCCGAGAAAAGCCAACTCACTAGACATCAAGCCAAAGGCGGTTAGGGATGCAGAGATAAAAAAAAACAACAATAAAAGCTAGCTAAAACCGAGACTGGTCCCTTCTGCCCGTTGATTTGAGCACTAGCCGTGTCTCATCAACGCTAACGCTCTCTCTGCTAAGTGGCTAGAATTGGACGGCGGGGGGTTGGGCGGGCAGCGGCAAGAAGGCCGTACTAGATCGCCAGCTGTACGCAGGGTCAACCGTGCGTTCGCACTATTCGAACGAGGGGTCGCATTTTTGGTACTGGAAAGGGGGATCGTATTCAGGGGAGGGGTTGAGTGATATGAGTGGGACAGTAATTCGTTGAGGGAATGGCGAGGCGATTTAGAGTTTTTTGTAGAGGGTGTAAGTGGCGCATCGTGATCGAGTAGAGCAAATTTGCCGTTTCATTGCATAATATACCATACCCCCCCCCCGTTGTTTTGAAGGGAAAGTGGGCGGAGTTGGGCTGTGTTGACTGTTCTCAGAATCAAATAATATTGAAACAGCCGTGATGGCGACAGTGATGGTCGGCATAAGGAGAAGCGTGGTCGTGTTGGGGGAGTCTCCTGAGTCTCATGGTGGTGATGGGGTCGCAGCGAGACTTAAATACATGTTGATCGATTCGCCAGAGACGTCCAATATACTAATCTCCTACTATCCAAATCAACAGTCGCATGATCTTTTCAGCTGAATATCCTGAATTCTGTTATCCTAATATCCTGTCGTACGCTATCCTACTATCCTAATCTCTGGAGTCCCGAACTATAAAGCGGCCTTAGATACGAGTCGCTTAGAAACTACTGATAAATTGCTGGATTATTCCTAACACACTGCGTATCGAGCCGTGGCGAGCACGCATGGCCTCGCGTGAGAAGCACATTGTGCTCCACTTGATGGCTTAAGCTGCTACAATTCATTCAGCTGTTTTTTGCAGACTCATTTTGCCCTTCGAAGGGCCACCAGTTGAGGTGGATGCACAATATTTGAATTTTGCTATGCGTTCGTACCTATAAGCAGAAGTGGTGCAGTGGCCACTGCTTACCACGCGCGGTCCGGTGATCGGATCCTGGGTCGTGAGTTGCTCTGGCCAACCGAGCCTTCCATCCTCCGGGATCATTTAACTGGTACCATACTTGTCTGGGACGGTAAAAACACTGGCTTGTACATCTGCTGGCCCCCGCAAGTCGTGAGACAAGTGAAATCGCATACAAATTGCCACCAGAATTTTGATAGATGTAGAATGCGTAGCGCATCCTAAAACGGGATCAATGGCAAACGCTTTTTTTTAAATTTTGACACAAATGTATACTTGCATTTGTTTTATTTTCATGTTGCTCTACGAGCAGAAAAGGCTTTTTTCGGAAAAAAAAGAAATAAAAAAATAAAGGAAATTCATACTTCATACATCACGCGTCCACGGTGGCACCCTAAGGAGAAAGTAGAGCCGGCGCCACCTAGTGATTACGCGATACGCAGTGTGCTAATTTATCTGGGTTTTGAACTGATTTGCAACTTGAAATGCAAAAAAAAACAAGAGTTGATGGTCCATCACCAATGGAAACGTCGACTGAAAGTAAGCAGCACAAAAAAGTACCGTAGTGTTTCCCGCTGCTGACATCACCACAGACGGCACAACTCATTGTTGGAGACGAACCAACTGAAGGTGACTCACACGACAAAGTTGGGAAAGAAGAAACGGATATCGTCGTTGGATCGAAAGGAGGTGTGCTGGAAGTGACCCAGAGCTATCTCAAAATCTCATCCTAATTAACAACACGAAGGCTTCTGCCTGAGTTTCATTTTATAATTCTATTAAATTTCTGGGTGGAACTAGAAAACAAAACTGCTGCATATTAGAGGGATGCACACGAGCTGAGGTGAGTATTGGCGTACCTTGTTTGTGCCATGCGATGGTTCATTGAAAGCGCAACAGCGGCAGCGATATGTGGCGGGATCATAGTGCCTGAACTTCAGTACCTACTAACACAGAAAAAATGTTCTCTTGACATTATGATAATGAAGGGGTTTTGTTTACCTGAGTTCATGAGTGCGTTAGGGAACAGAACAGGTCCGTGAAATATTGAACGGAGGCCCATTAGACGGTCTTCCATTGAGAGTCCTGGCTTTGCATTGTCTAAAACTAAATGAGTGATTCATTGGTTGCTTCGAGAACAGTACTGGAATGAATATTTATTGGTAGTAAGTGCCGTTCTTACATGGATGCTTTTAGAAAAATGTACAGCGTTTTTACTGAATTGTGAAGCCGAGTGGATAAGAGTAGACTCATGTCTGCACCTCTGAAAACCTCTGAACGCGAGTTCGATCCCTACCGAGGTTAACCATGCCTTGCAAAAATTGCAAAAAAGGTTCTAGTACCAGCGTCAGGCCCAGGTTGACAGGCCAGCTGATGGAGACCGGGCACACCAACCATGTTCAAAAGTCGCAAAAGAATCAGTGGTAACACGTTGCCGACGATGTCGTTCAATGCTGACCGACAGGCAGTCTGTCACATGGGACGATGTTGATCAACGTTGACAGACAGCTTGAAAGTAAGCCAACTTAGATAGGGCCTGCGACTTTTTTTTTATTTCAACGTCCTAACTTACTACACTTGTGTGCGAATTATGATCTTTCTATCCTGGGAGCTTTTTTTTTAACTAGTTATCAGCGGCAGAAACGCGCTGTCAATTGAATCACAACCACAAAGTTCCCACCGTCAGCAAACTGGAAATCTCACTAAAAATGTTCATATCGACCTCTACTAATTAGGTTACCGTCGTCATCAATGTCCATTTTTAGCCTTAGGTTCCCATGATGGTCAGGTAAGCTCAGTCTTACTTATAGGCAGGACAAAAGTACCTTTCCAGTCCATCAACTGGGAAATATTTCACAAACAATTTTTTGACCTTGGAACGATTCGTTTAAATCTCTTATTTGATCATGAAGAACAGGATAACAGTCAAACGAAAGCTCATTCCGTCAGGTACGCAAAGTTTTTCGCGTCGTTCTTGAGTGAGAAATGTCGTGGAGATCACGACCATTTTTCTTCTCAGCAATGTAGGATACTGTAGTCACAGTGAAAGTTTTGGAAAGTTGCTCATTCCAAAGCTATGGGAAAGCTCGCGAAGACGCGCTTATTATCAAAAGACATCTATAAGCGCGTATAAAAGCACTTAACAAACATTCTAGGGGTTCGAGTTTTTGCCGTCAGCATCCTGGAGCTCTCGCCTTGGAGCTCGATTGATCGCTAGCTTTCCCAGCTCTCTATAATTCTCTAGCTTCGATTCCAAGTTGCTTGGGTACTTGCCAAGTGGGGTAGATTGGGTCAAGTCTCTTAGAAATTGTGTCAAGTTCTAGCGATCATTGTCGTTGTAACTGTCGTACGTATCCTTGGCATAAAAGAGTTTGTTGGAGGTGTGCTGTTCGTGTGGCAAGATTTATCCCGCGTGGCACCGTAAGGTCTGGCGAGCTAAGTGGAGAGCAGCCCCCCAACGACATGGTGCATCGAGACTACCGATTTCGAAGCGAACTCAGGTCCGAATTCTAAATCTCAAGTGGGTTTTTGAATTCTTCTTTTTTTCATTTTTATTCCTCAGGAATCATTGAACTTCGTAATCCAGAGAGGATTAAGTTCACTTAATTGTTATCAAGTGATTTTTTCTTCAATAGGGATCACTGAAACCTGTAATCCAGAGAGGGTCAAATTCGGTTTCTGATCCCCTTTTGATAAAAAAACATTGAAGCTTGTCATCCAGGGAGGAACAAGTTTAGTTATCGAATTTTGCGCTTTTTGTCGAAGCCAGTGTTCGCGGGACCGTGTGGTTATAGGGTACCTCAAGGTGATTGTCGAGCCGCGAGAAAACGAAGATGGTGACGCAGCTAATAACCAATAAACGCCTCTTAACGCGTTATTGTAATAGATTGGAACAAGTTTTAACGCGCTTCAAAGGAGAAATCTTGAAAGAAAAAGAAGAACTCTCCAAGTCCCCTGAAGAAAATTCCGGAAGGCTGAACCTAGACAACCTCCGCCGTTTAGAGGAAGCGGTAGGAGCAGTTGAATTAGTCACCAAAAAGGTGGAAAATGCAATAGACGGTACAGGCAGCCGTGCTGAATATGATAACTCCCGAAATGATAGTTAATTTTCATGATAATTTTACAACAGATATTGTAGTAGATAACCTTATCTGTACGGCAGAGCAGGCCACTTAGTGGTTGTTACAGTTGCGCGAAGGGATCGAGTGTTCAAGTTACTTGTACAAGTGCACGAGATGCGCAAGCAAATATTGTATGCCCTAGTGGAACCTTTACAATCCCTTTGTTCCATAAAAGGCAAAACTTCCACTCTACACTTCAGCTTTACCACTGCGAGAATTCACCAAGGTGTTCGATCTCGTGTAGGAGTCAAGTTTCCTTTTTCGAAATAAGTGGGACTCTCAAATACACTCGCACAGTCTACGAAATGGTTAATAAATGGATAAATGGTAAAAGCATGGACTTCTCCGACTTTCATTGGCCAGACTTTACCCACATTTTTCATGTTTACTTCCAATGGTATAAAACCTTCTTAACAGCTTTAGCAAGCCTAGCGCTTATAATAGGTATAACATACTTCACGATAACAAAATGCGGTTCAAAAATCGTGGCATGGATTGGTCGAGCCCTATTTCGCCTTTGCCGTCGCGCAATATGTCTCTTTTTTCGTCCCTTTTGGTGGGTCATCTGTACACGCAAGCGTAGAGATAGGCGTCGTAAGTTTCTTTGAAGCACGGCGACCCACCTTCGCTGTTTGTCGCCGCGCCCTCTTTACTCGGCATAAACAAAGAATAGCTTTGCCAGAATTCAAGTTCAATGATTCACTGTGTAGCGACGGCGCACAGAAGTGCAACACGTCATATGATCTTTGTTTCAGGATGCAAGCACGAGATCTCGCTGCTTACCTCACGCGCTTGCTTGTCAATTCCAACGCCATGGCCGAACACATTGAAGCTGAACTGGAGGTCGTTCTTAACGAATTACGTCAACAAGTTAACGTTTCGAAAACTATGAGAGGTCATTTCCAATTCCTCACAGAGGACAAACTATTCAAAACGGCCGGAGCAGGAGAGAAAGTTCTCCTACTGACGAAACTCAGGCAGTCGGCAAGTGGTGGGAAAGAAATTTTGCTGCGATTTAGTACGCGATACATCTTAACGGAACGCATATATGAGCGTAAGGCCCATTCCGGAGGCAATGTACTATCCCGCTACGAACGATGGCTGGCAGGCGATGGCGAAACTCGCAAGATCGGTCCGGTAAACATGCTGATCGAAGAAGAACTACGCCTGCTCATGGCGACAATTGACCGGATGGGGGAGATCCTGAATACAGCCGAGAAGGATCTAAAGAGGGACCAAGAACTCCTGACAAGTCTTCAGCGCAGCAAAAGTGAACAGTCAAGTGAAAATGAAGACACCATGGCTACTTTGAAGAAGCTACTTCAGGAGCAGGCAAATAACATCAAGTCACTGGAGCTGAGGCTATCGTCCCTCGAGCAGCCAGAGTCTAGCGAAGCTCAGGAACAGCGTAAGAAGTCTATGGATGAGCAACACGTAACTCAAGTTGTAGATTTTTCAAGTGCACCAATAGAGGAAATGGAAATTTCTGATAATGATTACTTAGATAGATCAATCAGAGATACCAGCGATGATGGTGAGATTACGGTTTCTTTTCAGAATACTGGTGGAGCCGAACAAAGTGGTAGAAATCGCAAGTTTGGTGCAAGAGACCGCGAAGTACACAGATATCTCATCGATTCGATGGAAATTGCACCCGAAGAATATCCGTATCGTCATATAACTGCTCGTTCGGAGAGTATAAGCCCACACATAGAATGTTCATTTTGTGGAGCTCCTCAAGCTCATTACTCTGATTCTTGCCCGGTTCAACTATTCGAGAACGAATCATTGTAGATCACAACCTATGTCGCTTTTGCCTAAAGGATTGTAGCCGTAGCGGGTGCAAGGGAAGGAAAGGGTGCTGGTATTGCTCCCGGGTCGATGGGACACCGTTCGAGGATCTAATACCCGACGACGGGGGGCATCATCGTGCCTTGTGTCCTATTCCAGGTGCCAAAGGAAGAATGCGAGAACGTCTGGAGATGGCACTTCGCGATCTGAAGGAGATGGAAGAAGACGCATGACTTGGCCCCGGGGAATGTCGTGGAGATCACGACCATTTTTCTTCTCAGTAATGTAGGAACTGTAGTCACAGCGAATGTTTTGGAAAGTTGCTCATTCCAAAGCTATGGGAAAGCTCGCGAAGACGCGCTTATCATCAAAAGACATCTATAAGCGCGTATAAAAGCGCTTAAAAAAATTCTAGGGGTTCGAGTTTTTGCCGTCAGCATCCTGGAGCTCTCGCCTTGAAGCTCGATTGATCGCTAGCTTTCCAGCTCTCTATAATTCTCTAGCTTCGATTCCAAGTTGCTTGGGTACTTGCCAAGTGGGGTAGATTGGGTCAAGTCTCTTAGAAATTGTGTCAAGTTCTAGCGATCATTGTCGTTGTAATTTTCGTACGTATCCTTGGCATAAAAAGAGTTAGTTGGAGGTGTGCTGTTCGTGTGGCAAGATTATCCCACATGGCACGCGTAAGGTCTGGCGAGCTAAGTGAGAGCAGCCCCCCAACGACAAGAATTCGTAGATTTCAGATTACAGATGTGATCAGGGTACCAGTACCATCTAAAGGAAAGCTTATATTGACAACAAAGTGAAGAATGTTTGAAATTGCGCCTTCAGAACCTAAAAACCTGAGGTTTAAAAGTGCCAGGCGATGTCACTGAAATTTCACCCAGCATTCAGTAGTAACAACTTTCCCTTGCTTGTAAACGTGTCTGGACTACTCCAGTCAAAGGCATTTTGTGTATTTCGAGATTTTACAGAGCTACAAAGTAAATTTTGCCCTATAGTTACCGGCGCTTTGCATGCAAAAAACGTCACGTCTCATGCGCGCAACCAGGAAAAAATCGCGCCGACTGCCTCGAGAATGAGTACTATCTAAACCTGGACGAGGCCATAAGATCGGTTTTGGGAGGTGATTACCTCACCATAGCAGGGGACCTTTATGGTCACGTAA